TGGATCATTGTCACCTCCAAACTCCACGCATTTACAACAAGCTGTTGCTGTGGTGGACTCTGGGGAGATGCAGAGTTTGATTGCGATGTCCTGATGCTGGGTGGGGGTCGGTTCTGGAGGGCAGGATCAGGCAGTTCTGGCTCTGCAGAGGCCTGAGACGGGGAGTCCTCTGGGTTAGGAGAGCACCACATCCTCCCCAGTCCGCCTTAGAATGCGGAGCTTCTTCTCTCCAGGGTCACCATTGTGAACACCATTGTGAACAGAACATTTTGGGATGTGAGCTACAGCTGTCATCTGCTGAGGGCTCAGTCTTTAGACGTGGAGACAGACCTCTACTGTAATGCATTCATCCTCAGGGGCTGTGCAGTCAGGTATGCTCAGTGAGAGACTAGATCTGTTGTTTCTCTGCTAGGAGCACGGCAGTGGAGCAGCTGATGCCAGCCAATCAGAGGGCCATCATTCAAAGCTGACGGCCCGGATAGCCGCCCAGACCCAGACTCAGAGCAGGACTCAGGTATGGCTGACCTCTCAGTACGACAGTTAATCCAGCTCTCATCTTATCAATCACTGCGTCACTCTTCTTCTCCTGTCACACATTCCAGAGTTTCAAGAGGAAACCCGGGCGTGCTGATAATGAACGGGCGACTGGAGACGCCAGTGAGAGCATTAACAAGCGTCTGCGCATGGTGGACAGCCAGACAGAGCACAGAGACCAGGACAGCAGCCGGCCCAGTGAGGCCAAGCAGGAGTCCGACCTGTACCAGCACATCCCAGCAGGAGAGACGGCCTACGACACGCAGACCTACGGTCAGTGCTGCTCCATGACCACCACAGATGTCAGATGCTTAGGGTCCAGCCCGGGAAACCTTTCCAGCCTGACCGGGGAGTCTGGTTTGGGCTTCTCCTACTTCCAGATATGGCCAGCGCAGAGCAGCAGAAGGCTGAGGGGCCTCAGAGGGACCAGCAGGACGGTCAGAGTGAGGAGGAGGTTGCTATGGAGACGGAGGAGCCGGAGGAGGCGCTCCCAGCTGCCGAGGTCCAGGAGGTGAAACCTGAACGGCTGGAGGCTCTGAAGAGCTCCCACAAAGGTGTGAAATGCTGCTGGCCTTTGCTCTGCTGGATTGAGTTCTGGTGCCCTTCACTTACCGGGGTTCCCGTTTTGCAACTTGCCCTGATCTTGATTAGATAAGGTTTTCTACAATTTACACTGGCACAGCAGCAAAGTGACTAACCCAGAGTTAGGAATGGATCATCCATAAAGGTGTAAGACACTAGGCAGGAGAAGCAGCACTCAGCTCATCCGTGCTGGCCCCTGTTGGCCTCTCAGGGCCAGATAAAGCCTCATGTGGAAATATCATGGACTGCTCCCTACAGGTGCAGACAGCAGCGAGGTGGAGGCACTGAGCCAAGGAGAGGCAGAGGAAGAGGAACGGGAGGAGGGCCGACCAGCCGGAGAGGAGGAGCGAGCCGAGAGAAGCACCGAGTCCACCATCCACACTGTTCCAGAGCTGCTAATGGACACCCCCCAGGTACCGCTCTCAGCACCGAAACAAGGGCCTTCTGCCCAGCACCAGGAAAGCTGTAACACAGAGCTGTTCTCTGCAGAGAGCACAGAGGGACCCCGAAGAGATCAGGAGGGAGATGGAGCTGCAGCTGGAGGCGTGGAACAGACTAGCCCCCGGCTCCCAGCAGGAGGTGGGTCTGACCCATAAGAGGTCACCAGCGTGTGTCCAGCCCCTGGCGTGGTGGGGTTCTGAGGACCCACAGACTATCACCCTTTGCCACTGCTCTTGGTGGCTCACTGGGACTCTGTGATCTCCTTCCAGCCAATACGTGTCTTTAAGATCTGCTGGTAGTCTGGATCTGGGTTCATAGAGGAGTCCAGTTTAGCATCAGTTTATATATGTCGTGTCAGCACTTTTACAGTGTCTTGATGTGACGGAGAACTGTCTTGTGTAGAAGAAGGCCTGTGACATGGAGCTGTTATGTCTAAAGCTCACGGTTTCATGACAGGACTGGGGCCAGTGGTCAGCTGTGGTTAGCGGTGTGTGTTCTTCTGACTGGGTTTCAGGAAAGTGCCGCGGCCTCCATGTGGTGCAGATACCAGACTCTGTCCTCGCCTCTCTCCCAGCAGCTGTGTGAGCAGCTGCGTCTCATCCTGGAGCCCACGCAGGCCGCCAAACTCAAGTCAGTAAAGAAGCCCTCAGTCTCTGCCCGTTTCCCGCTGTGTGCTGCTGTAACACAGTTTCTGAGCAAATGGCGTGTGTGTGCTGCTCCACAGGGGCGACTACCGCACCGGGAAGCGTCTGAACATGAAAAAAGTGATACCCTACATTGCGAGTCAATTCCGCAAAGATAAGATCTGGCTGAGAAGGACCAAGCCCAGTAAGAGAGAGTACCAGATCTGCCTGGCTGTGGACGACTCCTCCAGCATGGTGGACAACCACTCCAAACAGGTGGGCTCGCCTTTAGGTTTCTGTGGGAAACCCTCCAGCGTCCAGGGTTTTACCCGGCCAGCCTGGAGAGGAATTTTCAAAGCTGCTTCCCTGTTATGCTAATGGAAGAACAGGTAGTATTTTAGAATGGAAGCTGAAGCCTTCAACTTTTAGAACAAGGTCTAATGGCCAGTGGTGTCTGCTGGGGCTCCGCTAGCTCCAGGTGGCCACCATGCTCACCGTATCCAGATCAAAGTCATGTTGGCCTTATTTGCTGCTGTCACTTGTTCTGGCCAGTGTCCTGGAAGCAGTTTGTCTGCAACACTGGGACTTCTACACAAGTAGCTGTCACAGAGCACATCAAATATGTATAGTCCAGCTCTTAAAAGGCCAAAAGGAGGAAGATCAAAAGAGAGGCATCACAGTGGCCTCCTGCATCTGTCCCTGGGGGTACAGATACTCTGGACATACAGCTTGGCCTGTAATTTACAGAGCACACAAAGTCTGTAGTGGGTACCAACTGGGCTCTCTCCCCGTGTGCTTGCAGCTGGCGTTTGAATCCCTGTCCGTGATCATCAGTGCTCTGACTCTGCTGGAGGTTGGACAGGTGTCTGTGTGCAGGTAAGACCGGTCAGTCATGAAAGGCAAACGCCGGCGTTTGGGATGTGGCCGTGGCATTAACTTTCCATCTGTGCAGCTTTGGGGAGCAGGTGCAGCTGCTGCATCCCTTCCACCAGCCGTTCAGCCAGGAGTCGGGCGCTCGCATCCTCAGACTCTGCCAGTTCCAGCAGAAGAAGACCAGAATAGCCCAGGTGAGGAGCCTCCCCACGTCCAGTCGGCTGAGGGGGGATGCACCACACCTGTTGAAGTCTGTGGCTTCAGTATGAAAGCGTGACGGTGCTCCTCTGTTAGTCTGACTTCTCTATGCCCCCCCCCCCAGTTCTTGGAGACATCAACAAAGATGTTTCTGTCAGCTCGCCAGCAGATTCCAGGATCCGCTCACTCAGGTAGGAACTCCTCGTGTTGTGCTTTATTCTGCTCCTACACAGCTCGAGAGGAACGCTAACAGCCCTTATGTGTTATAGTACCACTATAGTACCACTATAACACTCTGTACTGCCCCCCGGCTCCTCCTGTCACCACTGATGTTCCTCTAGAGCTCTAGAGACTGATGTCACATGTGTCTGCTCTGTGAG